TCCACTAGAAGTCTCCAGGCTCTCCTCTAGCTCTGATATCTTAGGTTCCAATTTGGCAACTATTTAAGGACACTAAACTGTGGCCATCGGTAACTAGCACAGAGACCTCTGGCCGAGGAGAAAGCTGGGGGGCGGGGGGAGAAGGCAACCTGACTTGAGTCTTGAAGCAGGGGAACCATTTGGGCAGAAAGAACACACATCAGGAGGGAGGAATAAGGTGGATCAGAGGTCACGGGGGTGGGGGGCGGGCAGAAAAGGAGGAGGAGGAGGAAGAGTAAGGGAGCTAACAGAGGGGAAAGAGGGCAGCCGGCTACTGTGAGTCCTAGGACAGTAGGGCCAGATAAAGGAAGGCCTTAGAAACCCACAGAAAGGTTTGGAAATGGCCAGTAGCATTTAGGGAGGCTTTTAAAGTTCTAATTGAGGAAGCAATTTGATGAAAACGGCGTCCCAGGAATATTAATATCGTACCAGGCTACAGCCTTCTGCTGGAGGTGGGGGAAACTAAAAGAAGTAAGAATCAAGTTTGTTGTTGTTATTGTTTCTATGTCATGTTTTAAAAACCTTAAATGGGGATGTCAACTCTCATCTCCTGGCTGCTATGAGAAAATGTGACGTGAAGTGCTTAGCACGGCGCCTGGCCCATAGTAGGTGTTCACTAAGTTGGTAATGCTCGTTATTATCATCTCTCTGAAATTTGCCTGTGATGTCAGCAGACCCCATGTCATAGTCACCTTAGCTCTAGTGACTGCCTTACCCATTTCCTCTCCCAGCTTGCTCAGGTAATCAGGAGCCAGGACACACACACTGACCATTAGATGGGAGGCGGGGAATGGGCAGAGCCAGGAGAGTGCAAGCAGGAACTTTCCCCAAATCTCCTCCCTGTTCCTGGCCTTGGTTCATCTTCTCTGATGGTGGGAACTTCTTTCTTTTTAAAGATGTTTTATTTATGTAATCATGAGAGTCACAGAGAGAGAGAGGCAGGGACATAGACAGAGAGACTTGATCCCAGGACCATGCCTTCAGCTGAAGGCAGCTGCTCAACCATTGAGTCACCCAGGCATCCTAATGGTGGAAGTTTTCAGTGAGGCTCCTCATCCTCTCTGACCTGGAGCAGGAAGCTTCCTCTGCAGCAGCTGGCCACAGGTCTTGGGGTGGTGCGGAAGCTGCACCAGGATCTGTATTTGCTGTTCCAATCTCTGGGAGATAGGAAGCCTGGCTGGTGGGCATATTCAGGCACCTTCCTTATGCAAGACAGCTGTCCCATGTCCTTCACTTGCCATCACCCCATCAGGACGGTACCATTGCCAGCTTCAGATTGGAATCCTCTTTCCATTTGCTCAGGATCTGGGGTACCCCTTCCTCCCAACCCTCATTTGACCTACTGAGGTGCCACCCTCTCAGGTCCACAGTCAGCTACCCCTCAGGGTGGTGGAAGGGTCCTCAGTGGGCTCAACCCTATTCCTATAAATTATACAGTCTGCTAAGAGACTGAATTGTGTCCCCCCACTCCCACCCCCAGATTCATATGTTGAAGCCTCAGCCTCCCACCCCTAACATGTAAAGGCATTTGGAGGAGGGGCCCTTGACAATTATGTTTTGGCAAAGTCATGTTTGTGGAGCCCTCGTAATGGGATCAGCCTCTCTCTCCCTCTCCTTCTCTTCCCACTTTTTCTCCTCTGTGAGGGCACAGCAGGAAGATAGGAAGGGAGCTCTCATCAGAACCCAATCATGCTGGCACCCTGATCTCAGACTTCCAGTCTCCAGAACCGTGAGAAATAAATGTCAATTGTTTAGGCCACCCAGTCTATGACATTTTGTCCTATCAACTAGAACAGACGGACAGATGGCTTGAGTCATGGTTTGAAATACTGGAAGTCAGTCCAGTCAAAGAAAAACTCGGAAATAGGTTACCTTTTACCCATACTTCTTCCTAGGTGGGGCAAGTACTGGGCCTGACTGAGGGACCAGGCAGGAGGGAGGTTGAGGAGGCTGAAGAAGTTAAGAGGATCAGAGTTTCTTTTTCTTCTGTCTTCAGATGAACAAGCCCAATACCACAGAGGTCCTGTTGCTTCCTGAGGAGGCTTACCAAGTAGGAGACACTTCCAGAACCATTCCTTCAATAGAAGTGGTGATTGAGCCTGCGCCACCATCTTAGACCATGAACAGAGGTCATACACCACAATGCCACCAGATAAAAGGAGCCTGGGGGCCTGAGCACTTTGTGCAGAATGACACTGCCAACCTCTGAACTTCAACAGGAGGAGAAAAATGCACTTGTGTTTCTTTTGAGCCGCTGTTTTTGGTCTTCATAAGTCACAGCCACATAGGACCATAACTGATACTGGTTTCAAAAAAAGCTGGCTGTTATCTGTCACATGATTACAACTATGTAATGCCTATCTGCCCACTAGATTGTAAGTTTCATGAGGACAGGGACCGTGGCTGTCCCCAAGGGCCAAGCCGGGGCCTCACACACAGCAGGCACTGGGTAAGTGTCTATTGAATGAGGTGGTCATCTCCATGCATGACAGTCCTTTCTTTTGGCCTGAGCACCAGCCTTGGGGGATCTTTCCCTGTGACGTCTCACTTAAAGCCCATCTCCCAGGGAAAATCTTCCCTGTCACACCTCATCTCCTAGTTCCTCTTCTTGCAGGTCCCTGGGAGCTCATACTTTGTGAGTTACAAAGATAAAGCAGTGCTGCTGCTGTGAGGCTACTTGGCAATCATTCTCTGGTTAGTCCTTGGAGGCTTACGTCCTTGCTTAACTGGACCGTAAGCTACTTTGGTAGGGAAAACACTCACAGTTTTTTGGTTCTTTGGGGTTTTTTGTTTTTAGAGATTTTACTTATTTATTCATGAGAGACACAGAGAGAGGCAGATACATAGGCTGAAGGAGAAAGAGGCTCCCTGTGGGGAGCCTGGTAGGGACTTGATCCCAGCACCCCAAGATCACACCCTGAGCCAAAGACAGATGCTCAACCACTGAGCCACTCAGGTGTCCCACACTTGCAGTGTTTTGATTGTTGGAGGCCTTAACCCCAATTCCTCACAAATGTGTAGAGCGGACAGCAAATACTTTGTGAAGAAAGGCAGGGAAGAGGGAAGCTTGATGAGGCCCCGACACTGAAGAAGAATATTGGATTTAAAGTTGGAAAGAATGATTTCGAGAAGGGGAAATAAGGAAGGCCAAAAAAGAGCAGTCAGACTCCCAAGAGCCTAACTTGGAAAAAATTTGAACGGCACATTGGTATGTTGACCATGGGGAAAAGATGGGATTCTGGGGTTCCATTAGCTGTGACCTTGGATAGGTCACTTCACTTCTAAGAATCTGTCTCTTTATTTTTACAATTAGGTCTGGCTCCAGCAGTGGTCTTCTGGTTGTGCTCCAAGAAGCACAAGTTAGAGACTCTCAAGAAGCTGGAATCCAGCCCACCGCCTCAGCCAGAGCTCTATTCCCTTCAACTTTGCATATTGGCTTCCCCCATAGAATTTAGGTTGAGCAAAAGTCTTTGGAGCTAAAACAATTTAAAAACCACTAGAGTCAATGACCCCTTTCATAACTACATAAAGATCTCTGGTTTTATGATTCAACCAGCTTACTCGCAAAGTTGGAGCTCTCTTCAAAGAAGAAAGGCTACCCATGGACCTTGGTCTCATCTTCGCAGCCAGACTAAATTCTGAGAAGGGTGAATTTAGGTTGGTGGTTCTCAGCTTCCCGCAACAAGCTTCCTACTTGGGCTCATGGAATCTCAACAATGGCTGGATTTATAGATGTTCCACAAAATTCTGCGGCTGGTTGCCCCAATGGGGCAGCAGGAAAGCTATGAGACGGAGAATCCAATCCACCCTGGAGAGCTCTCAGGGATCTCGGGATCCCAATATAGTGGTAACTGGGCCCCTGAACTCCGATGTAAGTGTTTCTACTCATACTCATGGGTGTCTTTAACTCCACCACATTTCTATCACCTTCTTCCCAATCCTGGTTTTCTCATCTCTCTCCTTTTCCTGCTTGCCTCTCCCTGCTCCCCTGCCATCCGAGGTCTGTGCTCCCTGACCCTGACACTTTCTAGGGCGCTGATTTGGAGTCCTGAGTATGGAGCCCAGGGTTTGAGCAGCTGAATCAGAAACCAAGGGTTTTATACCCAGGGAAAGAGGCACCTGAAGGGCTCACGGCAAGCAACAAGGACCATAAACAAAATGTAGTACATACAGACAGCGGAATACTATCCATCATTAAGAAAACAAGGAAATTTTGACACAGGCTACAACATGGGTGAACCTGGAGGACGTTATGCTAAGTGGAATAAGCCAGATGCAAAAAACCAAATATTACATGGTTCCACTTTTATGAGATACCTACAAGAGTTGGATTCATAAAGACAGAAGGAGAATGATGGTTGCCAGGGGCTGGGGGGAGAGGTAGTGGGGAGTTAGTATCTAATGGATATAGAATTTAGTTTTGTAAGATGAAAGGTTCTGGAGGTTGGCTTTTACAACAATGTCAATGTACTCAATGCTATAGACTGTACACTAAAAATTGTTAAGATGGACATTTTATATGTATTTTGCTACAGTTTTTATAAAAATGAAGGATCATTTGAAGCATCCTTGGCAGCCCCAGGACTCCTACACCTCTCTTCCTGTTCACCACCTGGAGGTGAGATCAGGTGGGGAGTGAGCCTTGGAAGGAAACTAAACTCTGGATTTCAGCTCCTTAAACATGCAGCCCCACCCACCCCACCCCCTAGAGCTTTCTGCTCATCCAACCTTAATATTTCTGGATCCCTGGGCTTCAGCCTTGTCACCTAGCTCCCAGATACTACTCATTTCTCCAAGGAATATGTGTGAAGCCTCATATCTCAAACACACACACACACACACACACACACACACACACACACATGCATGCACGCACACCTCAATTAATTAGATTTAAAAAACAATTCAAAGACAGGCTGGACTCAGAATTTGGCCCAGAACCTTGCCAGGACTGTTTATTTACAGGGAGGGCTATGGGCCTGGGATGCCCTCAGGGCTGCATGCAATGATGAGTCCAGAACCTTAGCTCCAGCTCAGTTACTCTGGGCTTCTTGCTTCACTTGCCCCAGAAAGGCTGAGGCCAAGGGCCAGGCACCTGAAAGAAAGTGCTAGATGGATCCCAGCCCCTTATCACAAACCACACACCCCAATCAGGATGGCCCTAAGCTCATAGAAGGGAGTAAATGGGAAGAGTCAAGGACACAGGCCATTCTTCCACCCAGGACCTGGCTTTCGCACAGGCAAGGGCCTGAACAGGAGACCCCAGGCTGAGAGACCTACTGGAGAGGCTGTCAGGGGGAACTGAGGAGGTCAAGGCAGGGTTCAAAGAGCCGGCGAGCACCAGGCTGGGCTGGAAGGGACCGAGGCCAGGAGGCAGGAGCACAGAGGGTGCAGAGAATGGTAGGCAGGCCAGGCTGCTCTTCCACCATGACCTCCTCTGATAGCCCCCTAACAGGGTCAGGTTGGGACAGAAAAGCTCTAGGGCAGGTGGTAGGGTTTGGGAGCCCCTGGCAGACCCCAGAAGGGAGCAGGAGGGAGAGGCTGCACTCACCCTGGACGAGTCTGCTTCACCCAGACATGATGTGTTTGACAAAGGCTGGGAAGGGAGACAAATCAGTCATTGTACTTGACTCCTCTCGGCCCCTGAGACCTCTTCCCCTCCCTCATGCTGCCTGACTTCCAACCTTCCCACCACCCTTTCTCCAGACTAGGATTCTCTTATTTGGAAAAGCTGGAGGACTCTCCTAACCTCTGCTCTGTGTCTTCTCAGCTGACCCTCGGACATAGACGAAAGAAGCTACGTTGTCTCTGCTAATCCCCTCAACCTTGAGAAAGGTGCCAGCATTGCCCCATTGCTCAGATGAGAAAACTGAGGCTTAGAGAAGGTCAGTGACTCGATTCAGGTGACACAGCCGGTCTATCAGAGAGCTATCTCCAAAACCCATGCTCCTTCTATTACACTATCCTGTCCACTCCAGGGATGGAAAAGAACATCCATCGGGAGCTCACCACCGCCCATCTGGTGCACACAGCCTCTAGCTCCTGGATATTTCTGTTCTGTTCTGTTCTGCAGACCCGCCCAGCCCAAACTGTTCCCACATCCCTGGGTGTTCCAGGAAGTGAGGCATGACCCGATACCTTCGTAATTGATACAGCCATTGGCATCCTCTTGCCCAGCCAACAGCTGCTCCACTTCGGCCTCAGTCATCTTCTCTCCTGGGGTGGGAACAGTAGGCTCTGAATTATAGGTGGCAAAGGAGACACAGGCCCAAACCAAGCACCCCCTTGAGTCTCAGGGCCCAAGGCTCCCCAAATCTGAGAAGTGGACATCCAAGTTTTAAAGAGGGAGCTAAGGGTCTTAGATCTTTCCTACTCCCCAAGGCCTCTCCCTCCACCCTACAGCCAGCACTAGGCAAGCAGACAGACCAGGGCCCCAGTGATTGAGGCAATGACAAAGATGGAAGCTCTGGGTCCCACATCTCAGGCCTTAGCCTTGCTCTGCCAACCTGCTCTCATCTCTATCCAAGCCCAACTGAGCAAACCCAGTTAGGGAAGGTTGTTCCTGCAGAGCCTGGAGAGACATAGCCTGGATCAGGATGTGATCCTCAGGATGCAGAGACTCCCATCTACCCCCTACATATGCCGCCCGGGCAATTCCTACCCCTCCATTCCTCCCCCCTGGGCACCACCAGCCTGCATACCCAGGGTGGCAAGGACATGGCGAAGCTCAGCACCCATGACTGTCCCATTGCTCTCCTTGTCAAACACACGCAGCCCCTCCACAAAGTCCTCATAGGTGCCCTGCTCCTTGTTGCGGGAGATGTGCTGCAAGATTGGCAGGAACGTCTCAAAGTCCAGCATCTTGGCATTCATCTCTTTAGGTAGGAAGGAAAGAAAATGTGATATGAGCAGAAGCTCAAGGGGAACAGGGCGTCAGCAAGAGGCCTCACCCGAGCTCTGCCAGGCCAGGACCAGGGCAGAGGGGAAAAACCATCAGGACTCCACCTGGACCCCTAAGCTCCAGGTGGTGGGTGAGGTGGGGGAGCTGGGGTGGCAGCAGCAGGCCTGGAGGGGCCCAAAGGATCACAGAATCGGGCCCCACATGCACCATTTAGACTTCTGACATGTGACACACATGTCACAGAGGTAAACTGATAGGACTACAAAAAGAGAATTTGGCATAATTCCTCTTCTGGGTCTCAGGACTAGACCACATTGCTTGGAGCAACAATGAATCAATAATTGTTATAAATTTGCAATTCTTTTGGGACAAGCCCACTTTTCCCATATTATAGTATGTTAAAAAAGGTTTAATTTTTAAAAACCACAAATGTTGGAAATTCTTTCTTATATAACAACACAAGAATCTCCAAAAATGGAAGTGCTCGGACATCCTTTACCTCTAAGAAGGCCTGCTGGTCCTCGGGCCCTCTCCTGCCCACGTCCTTCACCCCACACTGGTGTCTTCACCAGCAAGAGGAGGAGGAGAAGGGGCCAGAACCAAGGAAAGGGCAGGGGATCAATATGGGGGCCCAGGAAGCCTCAAGAGATGGCCTCCCCTGGCCAGGGGGCTCCTGCCCTGTCTGCCTATCCCTGCCTACACCTCTCAGAAGGACATGTGTGTTAGAGCAGCTGTTAACTGTACTACCACATGTGACAGATGACATTCACAAATGGGACACGTTCCCTTGCACCACTTTTGAAACTTACCAAAACCTGCCAAATGCAGATGAATGAAAGAGGCACCATTACAGAGCTCATCTTGAATTTGCTTTAAACTTGAACAAATAATTTGTGATCTTCAGTGCTCTAACCATCCTTAGAAAGAAAGTATTCATGATACAAGTCACAGTGGTCACAGGGCACTTCAGTGTGCTAACACATCAACTGAGATACTGGGCGTGGGGGTGCGGGCAGATCCCCACCTCACATCCCTACAACCCAGGATGTCAGAGGAAGACACTGAAGCAACAGAATGTCGCTCCTGCTCAACTGGGGCTTCAACCTCACAGGGAAAACAAGAGCAAGGCCTGACCACGTTCTTCAAGAGCCAACTGTCAGAGACTTCCAAATAATTCTAGCAAGGAGAGAAGGGGTAAGCTGGGGATGGGGTCTGGTCTTGAAGGGCTAAAGCAGGGGAAGAGGAAGAGCCCCAGGGGCCTCAGGGCAGACACCAGGAGGCCGAGCCACAAGACCCATGCTGACCTTCAGGCTTGGGCTTGCCCAGGACGCGCAGCACCTCGGCATTGGTGGGGTTCTGGCCCAGTGCCCGCAGTACGTCTCCACACTGCCCATAGGTGATCTTCATCTCTCCAGTCGGTGTCCGGTCAAACAACGAGAAAGCCTCTTTGAACTCTGCAGAGAGAAGACCTGACTGCAGCCCCCTGGGCCAAGCAAAGACAGTGACTGGGAGCTGATCAGCCTCCACCCTGCCTGAAGAGCAGGTCAATGTGGTCAATAAAACATTTTGGTATTTGCCCTTGGCCATCAGACCAGCAGCCCCTCCCTGGAAGCCCCCCATGCCCATGCCGTCTTCTGACAACCAAAGAGCATCCTGGAGCCTCCATGACCTGCTCCGGCGCTGGGCCTGGGAGCTCTTCTACCAGTTATTGTCGTATAATCTGAATATCTCCCCTGCTACCCCCTCCAATCCCCCCACCCTGCCCTCCTATAGGGGTGGTGCCTGACTATCAAAACTGGGAGGGAAGTGAAACTAGCGCTGGCTCAGTAGTCAGGATTCCTGGGTTCTCATCTTGGCTCTGCTGAGTAGCTTAGAATAAGACCAGCTAGGACTCAGTTTCCTTGTGCAAACCAAGGAATAAGGCTTCACCCTCGCCTCCCTTCCCAGTTACCGTGAGAATCAAAGGAGATGGTAGCATGTGGGGGCACTTTGCAAAGTGATAAGACCTGTTCAAAAGTTGGCTAACAGGGCTGCCTGTTCCAGGCCAGGCCAACTGACATGATGAAGACCGCCCCAGCTTCACCGCTGACCTGCATGTGGCCTTGAGCAAACTATTCAACCTCGTGGACCCTCCTTTTTTTTTTTTTTTTTTTTTTTAGCTCTAAGCAGGGATGCAATGTCCACCTGAGTGGGTTACCGGAGGGGAGAAGGCTGGATTATCAAGAGTGCCAAGCCTGCTGTCTAGCACATGGTATGGGAAACAACAAAGGGTGGTTATTACTGTATTCCCTGGCTCTGGAGCCAGCCCAGAGCTCTAGGGACTAGACTCCTGAAGGTACCAGGGTGCTGTCCAAGGAGCAAGACCAAATTAAGGCACTCCTGGCCCTTTGCAAAGAACCTCAATTCCTCATTAATTTGGATACAACCAGTTCATTACTGTGGATAATTTGGACTGGGAATGGCAAAGAAATGGTTTACTGGGCAGATTAACAATATGTATGAACCACTTAGGAAAAAAGCTCCTTTTAATCCTCATCAAATACTCTAGAAACGTTTATTCCTTAGAGGTTACCCACGGATTATTTATAAACCATTCCACATATCAAAGCAGTCCCTCCCCCAAAGACATTTATTTGCAAGTCTTTATTAGGCTTTGTAAGAATTTAAAAGATACAAAACCACATGTCTTTCAATTACTGAATAATTAAGTTCAAATTCCATTGCCATTGCTTATTAGCTGCGTGACGTTGAGCAAATAAATATTTAACCTCTATAAACCTCTTCTCCTTTATAAATGGCACCTACCTCAGAGTATTCTTAAATTACACTTATGTTATATACAATAACGTAGGTTACAAATCTTAATAAAATGTCCTGCATATAGTAAATGCTCAAACAATGCTGCTAGTCTTTTCTTAATGGTTTAATCTTAATTTTACCACTTAACTATGTGATTCTGGCCAGGTCACTTAACCTCACTGACCTTAGTTTCCTCCTCTGTCAAAAGGAAATAACGCCTACCTCACCGTTTTGTTAGAAGGATCTAAATTGTTTTTTTAAACTTTTAAAGCGATTAGCATGGCTTCTGGCACAAATTCAGTACTCAATAAATATGTTAGTTGAACCTGAACTCAGAGTTTTGGATCTCCCAGTTCATTCAGAAGACTGAAGTCAGATTTAATAAAAGTCCTCATGAAAAAAAGAATATAATGATACTTAATAAGGAGGTGGAACAAAAATAAATAAATTTTAAAAAATGAGGTGGAACGCGACAGGATGGGGGAGTAAAAGAACAATGACTTATGATATGATCACTGACAATGGACCAAGTTCTAAGCTAATTAATCTTTCAAAAACTCTATGCTATGGGTATTATTGTCTTCATTTGTAGCCCAATGCACATGTGACTTCTGACCAATTATTCAGGACACCAAGAAAATAGTGAGGAAGAAGGAGGAGAAGGAAAGGACCTGCTGTACCTGTTAACACCCCAGCCCGCTGCAAACCGTGGTAATACACATAAGCCAAAACACTGAAGTTTAGGGCTGCTACTACATAGAAGACAAAGCCAGTATGATCTTGGGGTGTATGAGAGGTGATGAGGTGATGTTCATGGGCCCAGAAGAAACCTTTTCTTGATAGTCTGTAGGAGTTGGGTGCTTGCTAGAGCAATGAGCAAAGGTGGTAATCCCTTCCTATAAGAATATGGAAATCTGGGCGCCTGGATCGCTCAGTTGGTTGAGCATCCAATTCTTGATGTCCATTTATGTCATGATCTCAATGTCATGAGATCAAGCCCTGCCTCATGGCTCTGTGCTCACTGGGGAGTCTGCTTTTCTCCCTTTTCCTTTTGCCATCCACCTCACATGCCCTCTCTCAAATAAATAATCTTTAAAAAAAGAAAAAGAATATGGAAATCTGGAAAGGGACCAAGAGTTAGAAGTTAGTTTTCTACAAGAAAAAAAAAAGCATTATAATTAAATGGGGCCATACCACCAGGAGAATATAAAGCTAAGACAGGATTTGATAACTATCTTCAAATGAATGGAGGATATCTGAAGGATGCTGAATAGAGTCACAGACTTTCTGAGTTGAAAAGAACCAAATATTCTTACTTTGCAGATAAGAAAATTAAGGTTCAAAAAAGTGACCTTGCCCAAAGTCTCATGGCTATAGTGGCAGAATTAGGGCCAACACTAAAATCTAATTCCAGGGTTGCCTCGGTGGCTCAGTGGTTGAACGTCTGCCTTTGGCTCAGGTCATGATCCCAGGATCCTGGGATTGAATCCCATGTTGGGCTACCCCACAGGGAGCCTGCTTCTCCCTCTGCCTGTGTCTCTGCCTCTCTGTCTCTCTCATAAATGAATGAATGAATGAATATCTCCTGAGTCCAAATACTCTTTCTAGCATAATACAAGAAAGCCATCTTCAGCTTCATCAAAGAGCAAATGAAGAGACAGCAGGAGTAAAATTCAAACAGAAACAATTCCGATCCAAAGTAAGGGACAATGTCTTCAAGGTCGGAGGGATGACAGACTGAAAGGAGTTAGATCATAGCCCTGAAAATCTTCCTGGACCAAAGAGGCAACCAGCTGTCCCAGTTAGCTTTGATGGGGACTCTCATTTGGGAAATGAAAAATTTTTATTGTTAGTTGATTCTCTCAAATCCTCATGGGTACCCCCATGCTTATATCTATGCACAAGTATATATTTAACTAAGATGCATTTAAATTAATTTTAAGTATTTTGTAGCACACCAAACTATTGACTAAAAGTGAATGTCCATGGGGTATTGCAAAAGTGAGTCAGATTCAATTTACTAGTTTCAAAATACATCTGCTGGTTCTAATGCCCTATTTGTGGGTAAATTGGCATCACTTTTTGGGAAGGCAATTTCACAATAACTCTTATAGTTTAAAATGTATGTATCCTTTTTTTTTTTTAAGATTTTACTTATTTATTCATGAGACACAGAGAGAGAGGGAGAGAGAAAGAGAGGGAGAAGCAGGCTCCATGCAGGGAGCCTGATGCGGGACTTGATCCCAGGTCTCCAGGATCACACCCTGGGCCAAAGGCAAGCACTAAACCACTGAGCCACCCAGGGATCCCCTGTATGTATCCTTTGACCCACTCCTAGGAAGTTCCCCTGGGGGAAGCATGCTGATAACTCCCCACCGGCAACAATCTAAAGCTCCATCCCAATTAGCCTGATTCAATTAAAAGGTACATCTGTGTATGAGACTCTGTAATGCTTGAAAAAAATGAAGCAGAACTGTTAACTATAAAAAGATACCAAGGTATAATAGGTTTATTATTAAATAATATACATTAGTAAAGCCAAATATGTATTAAATAAAAGATGCAGGATAGTATATATCACACGACTCAATTTGTGTAAATTTTATACATACATATCGGTAAGTCACTATAAATTTTTCTTGAAGGACACAGAGGCTTATTAACAGTAGTTACCTTTGGGACAGGAATCAACATGACAGGAAAGCAAGAGGAAACTATTTTTATTTTTCATTATTTACCTTTAAGTAGTATATGAATTTTTGTTTTTGTTTTACCACGTGCGGGTATTAGTTTACTTTTTAAAATATACTATGTGCTTAAAATCAAGGGGGTGGATCAGATGACCTTTCAAGGTCCCTTCTAACTCCAATGACTTCATGTCCTAGAAGCATTTAGTGAGGAAAACAGAGGGATAAGTTGCAGTGGCAATAAGCCCCAGCTATAAAGCAGATAGCACATGATGAAACATTCCATCCTCAAAACAGCAGACTCCCACAGGAGGAGGGTAACAATCAGGTTGGGGAGTTGGAGATTGGAGGCTTGTCTTGAAGCCGCACTTAAGAGCACTTCCTAGAACACTGAGAAAACAAACTGTCTTCATCCAAGATGGAGAAGGGTTGGTGATGGGGATCACAGATGGACTAGGCACCCCCAAGTCACTGGCCCTGTCGTCATTAGCAGGTGAGCATCTCAGTGAGCTATAGGATGAGAGGAGAGGATGCCAGTGACTTAAGGAGGGCTTTCCAATAACAGGAACAGAAATGAGTGTTCTAGATATCTTGAATAGTAGATTTTGTGGGTAGAGGGGGGGAAAAGAAATTTTTGTTGTGCATCTATTATGTCTCAGGCAGTCTGACAGGATAGTTGAGAATTCATGTCTGCAATCAGATTTCCTGAGTTAGAGTTCTGCTCTACTAACTGCCTGCGTGAGACTGGGCAAACTACTGAACCTGTGCCTCAGTTTTATCAGTCAATGGGGGTGGTAATAGTCCCTACCTCCTGGGGGTGTGGTGAGAATTGAGTTAATCCACATAAAGCGCTTATGTGATAACATATGTTAGGTGAAAAGAAGCAAACAGAAAACCTTTGGCAAACACAAGTTAGTAATGATGAGAACGGTGATTACTATTAACCTGGAGATAGCAACCACTCCTCTCAGTCCTCCTCCTCCTGGAAAGTACAACAGCAGGCGTGCTAGGGAAGGTGGGGTTGTCAGTACTCACCTTCGATCTGGTCAGCAGTGAAGTCTATCTGTGGGGAGGGAAACACAGGAATGAGACTGCCGAAGGCTCCCGGAGGGAAGCAGAAGTGGCTTCCACCACAGTCAGGGGGCAACTCCCACAGGCCACCAGTGAGGGGCAGAGACTCAGGGCAGAGCCCCAGATGAATGAACTACAATATCAAATAATGCAGCCACAAGTGCTCCCTCAATACTGCAAATGAAGTGATGGCTCAAAATGAAAGAGAGAAAGAAATGTTCCAGATAACTCTAGAAGATATGCTCTCTGTGGTGATTTCTTCAGGTCAAATATAAATTGCCAATCCTAGCTGACCATAAACTGCCCTCAATTTCCACCCTACTCCATAATCCACCCACAATCATACATCCTCTCCCTTTGGGCAGCCACCATTCCTCACCTTCGATCTCTCTGTCCTACTTGATGATGACCATCCACCTCCTGCAATCCCACCTTCCCTTCCCTGCCCCTTCCACCCCCACCCCTCCTCTTAGGCACTGGGACAGCAAGCCTAGCATTCCTGAACTATTCTACAGTCCTGCCTCCAGGTGTGCCCAGGCCCCCTGATGCCAGGGCTCTCCTGGGTCAGGGATTTTTGTTACTGTTCACAGAAATGCCTGGCACAGGGTAGACACTCAAAAAATATTTGTTGAGCAAAGGAATAAATTTGGATACACTCCCACAATGCATAATAATTCAATGGTGAATAAAGAGTCAGGTGGGAGGCTCTGAAAATGAATGACAAGGAACAAGCATGAGTCATCATCGTCATTTGGGATTTTGGCGTTACTTCACCAGCCTTATCTGCCACCACCCTCCCCACCTAATCCCCTTTCCAGGGGTGGTGGTAACCACTGCAGGCACATCTCCTTCATGGACCACCATTTCTAGTCCTAACTCTGCTGCTTGTGCTGTGCCTCCCAGGCAGACCCCTGTTAATGAGGACCTCTGGGGGTGGCTGGAATAAGCTAGGAGAGGGGAGGAGGGGTTACACTGGGTTGGGTAGGAAACTAGCTGTGACCAGGAATGGAATGGCCGCAGGAGGGGTTGGTCAGCAAGGTATAAATACCCCTGAACTAGGGTAAAGGATGCTTTGCATGAACTCTGAGGAAAAGGTGCAGTTGCTTTGCTTTGTAACGTGCTAAGTCCCAGGAGTAAATGTGTAAGAGAAATTAATGTAAAAACATAAAATCAGAATCTATGGTCATAACCATACATATTGGGGTTAAGTTTACTTTTGTTCTAGTCTTTGAGCACAGACTTCAAAGCAAAGGAACCAAATAACCACAATAATGAAGGGGTTACATTACATTTTTTTTTTTCACTTTAAAGCAATTTCAACTATGGTCAGGTTTGGAAGATCCAGGCATGGGAAAGAGGACTGCAGTGGGGGGGCGGAATGAGTGGGGGGTGGATGGAGAGGCAATGGGTCAAAGAGAAGGCTCTGATCTGATACCACGAGGTAGCTGTCACCCGGATGCCGGGGGCCAGGCTATCCCATAGGAGTAGCCCATTATCAGAACAAATCAGAAATAAAATCATCCTGAGGGGTATGGGGAGAGTCAGCTTTTCTCACTAGGTTCTGCCCATAGTGGGAGTAATTAATGTATGACCCACGTACTTTCAAGGTCTTACACTATCACCTCCATGTGTACCACAACCAAACCCAGGGACATGCAACTACTTCCATCTCTTGGCCAAACCAGTTGTGCTTGACCCCTCACCCTTGTAGGAATTACCACAGATCAACCCCAGGGCCCTTGGCACAGCTGCAGGGGGGCTGTGGGCACCAGGAGGAATCCTGAGAGACTAGGGAGGGTCAGTTTCCCTATCTTCTTGTTGCAGCACCGGGTCCTGAGCCCTTATTTTGATCTGATTCCTCACCACCCCTGGCCCTGCCCTCATGGGTATCCCCAGGGGCCCACCACTCCCAACCTGTTATTAATAGCTCTTCATACCAGAAGCACTTGACCTCTCACATTCTGGTGCCAAGGCTTAGAACTGCTTCACTCTCCAGAGGTCTCTGACCCCTCCTTCCCCAGCCCGGCCCCTCCCAGTTCCATTCCTTCAGCAGCTGGGCCAGATAGCTGGGAGGCCTGAAGTGACTGAGTCAGCAGGCAGGGCCCAGGCCAGCCGCAGGGAGAGGAACCTTCCAGGGTGAGGGGAGCAGGGTGGGCAGAGAGGGAAGCAGGCCCCCCTCCCTCACCGGGTTAGAGGGTGGGCCTCGTCCTAAGATGGGCCAGTCCCCTGCAGACTCCAGACAGGAGCCTAGGCTGAGGCCACAGAAGGAGGAGGGAACCACCTCGGCAGGGGAGGAGAGAGGGAAGCAGGCTCCTCTCTGTCCCCACCACCCTCCTACTGCAAGGGTCTTGGTGAACAAAGCCTTTCCCAGACTCCCTCCTCCCTTGCCATTTATATAACTCATTCCAAGGTACGTTGGCCATTATTGGTACGTGTCTTTTCTCCAGAAAGATAAGGTACCACCTCTGAGGGAAGGGTCAGTCTCTTTTTCTTTACTATTATGGCTCCCACAGTGCATTAAAATTTAAGGCTGAATAGTTGGTTGGTAATGCCTCCCTGCCATTCCTGACTCTGACAGAGCAGGGCTTCCTCAGAGCAGAAACCCATTCCTGAGGGGCAAGGCCTACGACCCCAAATCCCCCTCACCAGCCCCAGTGCCAGCTCCACCATCCCGTGCCCCATGATGCGGGGCATAGGCACCACAGTTCCCATCCCGGTCCAGCCTCCAGGAAATAGATCTCTAAGGTCCAAGACAGACAGGATCCTGAAGGTCATCCCCACCTCCATTCCAGTGGTTAAGGCTCACTCACCTTTACACTCTTGGGATCAAAGGCAGGTTCCTTGGGGGGTTCAGGAGCTGGGGCAGGGGCAGGGGCTGGGGCAGCCTTGGCTGCTTCCTTCTTAGGCTCGGGCTTCTTGGGAGGCATGTTGTCTTGCTGGGATCTCCGGTGGAGGTGGGAGCTAGGACAGAATCAAGAGATGTGGCGCCTAGGAGAGGAGACAGGAGACTGGGCTGCCTCCCTCCCCTTTTATCCTGGGCAGGAGCCCCCACAGAGGGGCTGGGTGAGAGCAAGAGCAACCGCCCTGACTATAAAAGGAAGAAACACCAGCAGGGTACAGCTGACAACTGTGTATTGTCACCAGGTTTGGGGCCACGAGCCTCCCCTCCCTCCACACCTCACACTCCTCCCGGCCTCCACCTCTGGGACAGGCTGACCCTTCCTGCCAATTGGTGGAAGCCCAGAGGGGCCAGGAAGACAGACCCTCCAAAAACGCCAGAGTCCAGCCAGAGAGATGAGCTGACTGGAGCAGTTGATAACCCTCACACAAAGCCCAGGGGAGGGTAAGGCTTTTTTTAGCCCCTCCAGAGCAGAGGCAGCCCACTGCACATTCCTTTTAAGCCGGCTCCTTTAAGCTGAGAGCCACTCTGGGGCCTCAGCTCTGCCCTGAGGCTCAGCTCTAGGCCTGGAGCCCTGAAGCAACAGCTGGTCTGGCCAACCCCCCCCCCCCCCCCCCCCCGCCCCTCACCCTCCCTATTCACAGGCTAAAAGCCCTCCATCCTCCAGAGCAGGCATCCCAGGAACTCCACAGACCTCAAATCCCCCGGCTTACCCTCACCACCAGCCACCTCCATCATTCATTCAGGGAGTCCTGAGAGGCAGAGGGGTGTGGCTAAAAGTCAAGGTGACTGGAGGTCAGACAACTTGGGTCTCCTTGTCACTATACCTTTAACTCTGGACGCTAGGTGTGCATGTGCAGGTGTGCGTGTCTGTGTGTGTGTGTGTCTGTGAAGTGCTTACCGTGTACCAGGCACTGTTCAATGCTATTGTATAAAATCTCATTACCTCTTCACCCCAATCCTACAAACTAGATATTATTCCCATTTTACACTTAGGGAGATTGAAACTAAAAGTGGTCAGGTAACAAGGTCACTCAGCTAATTAGCTATGAGCTGGATCAGGACCCAGGTGTATCTGATTCTAAAGTGTATGCTTATATCATTGAGATCATAATCCCATTTATGGGGACACCTGGGTGGCTCAGTGGTTGAGCATCTGCCTTTGGCTCAGGGCTTGATCCGGGGGTCCTAGGATTGAGTCCCGCATCAGGCCCCCTGCAGGGTGCCTGCTTCTCCCTCTGCCTCTGTGTCTTTCATGAATAAATAAATAGTCTTAAAAAATAATAATAATCCCATTTATGGGATTTATGGTGGGGGGTGTGCACATATGTCTGTGTGTTCATCTGAAAGGCCAGGACGTATACACACTAAAGTGTTAGGGAGACACACCCCTGGGACCTGGGGGCAGTGAGGAAGGGAGATGACAGCAGTTCAGAATTTTGTACTTTTTTCACTTCCTGCATTAATGGAAATTTTTAGAACTAGCATGTACTGTTTAAAAAAAAAAAAACACTTAAAGGCTATACAATGTTCAGAAAACAACAACCAAAAAGCTTACCCACCACACAGAATTGCTTTGAGCTGAACTTTAAGACTCTCCAGTTGAGAGGATGAAAACTCAAGTCAAGAAAAGCCAAAAAGTTACCTCTGCCTCTCTAGGCCTGGACTTCTTACCTATAAACAGGATTACTAGACTACATACCACCTGGTCCCTGCTAGCTCCTAAGTCTGCGTGCAGTTCCAGGTGCCTGGGGGCTCACACCCACTCATTCCCTAGGCTCCATTTCCCAGATCTTTCCCAGCCCAAGGGCCCTTGGAGTTGGTCTCATCCTACCTGCTTTTGTGAGGAACCTAATGCCTAACGCCAGTCTTTTAAGCTGCCCAGAGACATTCAGCCACTCATAGAGCCGAGCCAGCTAATTCTGGCTCCCCATGTGGTGTGTGGAGCTCTGACCCCACCCTGCTGCTCTTACAAACCTAGATGTGCCCTCACCACTGGTAAGCGGAGAAGCCTTCAGAGGAAACTGAGGCAGGAAAAGGAGCCAGGACTTGCCCAAGGTGATACAAGAACAAGACCCAAACCCAGGTCAGTACTGGTCCTGGCTGGGATAGCAGCTGTTCACTCTTTCACCTCACCTCACCCCTCCTGGGCCTCACCTTCTGTCTTCCTTCTGAGTTCCTGTCATCTGCTTCCAGGGGCCTCTGCTTGCACTCTTGCACTCTCCCTGTCTGACCCTTCCCTGACTTCCTCACTCCCCAGACGTTGGGAGCTCAGGTTGTGGGAGGTGAGAAGGGAGGAAACAAAAGCCCAGCCTCTCCCCTTCTCTCCTCCCACTGCAACCTCTTCCCAGACTAGGTGTGCTGTGGAGTTTGGTGGAAAAGCTGCAAGCCAGAAGCTGGAAGATCCAGGCACTAGACCTGACTTTGCCAGCCACTCCCCTTCTCTGGGCCTGAGCTTGCTTATCTCTAAAATGAGAGATAATCAGGAGCTTTCAAACAGTGTTCAACAGACACCCAAGACCCAAGCCTCCCTTAAATTGCTTCCGGCTGTAAGGGATGCAGAGAGGCCAGGTTTGGAGCTTCCCCTGCCATTTCAGTCAGCACCACTCCTGCGTGTTTTCTACATGGGGGTCCCACGATCATTGTCAAAGAAATGATTCCATGGTTTAAAAGTAAAAATAACCACTGAGTGAGATGCTTTCATATATCCTTTCCAGTCAAGAAACAAGTTATTCGAACCATTCTAGTAAGAAGCTTGATCCTCAAAAGACAGAAAGGGGTTTCCTTTCATTTCATTTATCTTTTTCTTTTTTCCTTTTTCTTTCTTTCTTTTTGTAATGAGCAAAATATCCAGTCTGCTTGGAGACAGAGCTATGAGGTTAGAGAGCTGGGAAGACTGAATGAGGCTAGCTGAGCAACTACAGACATGAAAGGATGTGGGCCTTAGAGATAGACGAACATAAGGCTGAATGCTAGATTTGCCATTTCCTAATCTCCGGTCCAGTACCCTAAGGACCTTCAGCAGTAAACATTTCCTTCTCAAGTTGTTGTGAGATCTGTATGAAACAACATGAGCAAAGCACCACAAGCCACCCCTGGCACATTGGAAACACTCACAGCTGTTCATTTGTTTTCCTAGATGAAGCTAGACGTGCGTCTGGGTTTCTCAGACTCCTTGGAAGGAACTCTAGGAAAGAGGGGCATGTGGGGGAGGAGCAGCACAGGTAAGGTGGCAGTGGCTACTGGGATTATGAGGTGGGGGTTTAGGAATGAGGAAGAGGTGGAGAGAAATGGGGGTTCGAGGAGGGCGGTCACTGGTACCCATGGTGTGACATATTTGTGGCTCAGAAAGCATGTTGCAGGTCCCTGGGGCCAAGCAGCCTGCCTGTCAGCCACACTCAGATGAGGAGCCAGCCTGCCTGAAACTTTAGGCCACAGGCGCCCCAGCGTGGGAGGAGACACTCCTCAAATCAGTTTCTGATGCTCTTTAAGCAACACCAGCTAAAAGAGTGTCTGGCACTTCAGAAGCAACTGGAGGAGAGTGTGGTTTTCCAGAAAGAGCTATGCATCAAGAGTCAAGATACCCGCCCCTGGCCTTGTTATTATTACCATAACTCATGATGCCCACAGTTCAGAAGAGCTCAATAACTGGAGCCAGAGGTGTCACTTTTGCGGCCCTCATTCTACTTCATGGTCACTGGCTTTTCCCTTCTTGTCTGTCTAGAGTATCCTGCACCAGGCCTACAGCATAGCTTCCCCCTCCAATACATGCTGACCAAGTAGAGCAAAGGAAAGAAAGAGAAAGAAAGCAGAGACTGTAGAGGCAAATTAGAAGTAGGTATTGGCAGCCTGCCAAGTGCCCCTGAGAGGCCTCTAATGCCCACTCAGATGCTCCCACTGGAAGGACTTCAAACTTGGTAGATGGAAAACTCCGGACAGAATTTCACACCAACCCATTTACACCCCATGTCAAACTCGGAGACAGACACTTAGCTTAGAGAACTGACATCAGCCCTCAACTGGGCTGAGCTTACTACATACACTCACTTGTTCTTCCCCCTTCCTCTCTAACCACACACACCCTGTGTCCCTGAAAGAGATCCATCAGAGTCTCCTGCCTGGGATCAAATGCTGCTGACAGGAGGCCTGGCTCTTAATGCCTTGTCCTTGTCACCCTCCCTCCTCTCTTCTGGCCAACATCTCACAAGCTAGACATCATGCAGCAATGCCCTGGCCAACACTAATCTGTCCCCATAGAGGGCACTGGGTAAATTGGGCTCTGCTGCAAGGCAGGGGTAAGAAAGCCCACTCAGGAGCCGGACTGCCCGGGTTAGAGTCTTGACTCAGGGGGTTAGGCAAACTCGTTAACTTTTTTCTTTTTTAAGATTTTATTGATTTGGGCAGCCCCGGTTGCACAGCGGTTTAGCGCTGCCTGCAGCCCAGGATGTGATCCTAGAGACCCAGGATCAAGTCCCATGTCGGGCTCCCTGCATGGAGCCTGCTTCTCCCTCTGTCTGTGTCTCTGCCTCTCTCTCTCTGTGTCTCTATGAATAAATAAAATATTTTTAAAATTAAAAAAAAAAGATTTTATTGATTTGAGAGAGAAAAAGAGCATGAGTATGCATGCAACGCGAGCTGGGATTGGGTGGTGTAGAGGGAAAGAATCTGAAGCAGACTCCTCACTGAGCTCAGAGCCTCCATCTCATGACCCTGAGATCTTGACCTGAGATGAAATCAAGTCTGCAACTTAAACAACTGAACCACCCAGTTATCCCACAAGTTAACCTCTTTATGTCTCAGTTTTCCTATCTGTAATATGGAGCTGCTAATACAACTTTATAGATTGGTCACGAGGATTATATGAGTTAATATGGTGTTCACACAGTGTCCAGGACAGAGCAAGTAATCAAAATACCCAAGCCTGGGTCCTGATTGAAATAGTGTGGCTGCTGCTCCCTCTCCCAAGATCAACAGTGGAAGAATTATATAGAGGAAATACAAGAAATAAAGATAAATTTCTCACTGTGA